AACCAGTGAAGGGAAGCAGGGAAACTTTGCTGATATTCAACCACCTGTGTGTCATCACAGTGTGCGCAGATGAATGTTGTTTGACTTCCCCTGGAGATCCCTGCCCATCCGGCGGCGAAGGTCTGGGTGCTGGCAGCAGCACGGGGGCAAAGCCAAACACCGTTTATCTGCACACACTGCGATGCCACACAGCTGGTTCAATAGCAGCAAAGTTTCCCTTTATATTCATTGTCTTCTGTGTCGATCAGCAGTGATGTGGTGGTTCACTTTTACACTGTGATCTGTAGCCTATAGTTCAGCTTTAGCTTCTAACTTTGTCTTTTTAACCTGTTGTTGCTGCTGAGTCAGTTTGTCAATAGAGTCTGGCTTTGAGGAGAGCATAGGTAAGTTTCATTTTCCATTCAGCTCTCCGTCGGAAAGGGTCGTCTGTTTGAGAAGTACTGAGCATACGAATGAATAAATTACTGCACAGTTTGTTTGTTTGAGAGTTTGTCAATGGATGTTTTGATATAGTGATTCTGTTGTTATGACGGTTGCCTCAATTCATCAACAGTTTTCTATTTTGGATTCTTTGTTTATCAGACGTATGCGAGAAAAATGTTTTCTTCACCAATTTGAGGAGTGAATTACTCAGTTAAAACACTAGTTCATAGAATTTTCCTATTATTACAAGTAAATATCAACCATTTGGGTGATATAATGTATTTTCGGAGCCAGTTTTCAAACAAGTCAAACTACATTCTTGAAACTTGAATAATAAATACATATAAATGACATGTTCTGGTGCACATTTTTGCAGCCCATCTTAAAAACTACCACATCAAAGGCATAAACCTCCTCTGTGACCTGAGCTCAGAGGAGCACATCTTACAGTCAGCTCACTTCTGCTCTTGCCTTACCTCAGTCTGCAGTGGAGTGTAGCTTATAGCTCTAGGAAACCAGCAGAAATGAGATACAGACCCAGGTCTGCATATCAGCACTTCTAATAGCACAATGCCAACAGAAAACTCTCTCCTCAGCCTCCTCGGGACATTGCTCCAGCCTCTCCGCTGTGAACTGTTCAGCCTGGGAACAGTGAAACAGAGCCCTTGCAGCATGTTTGAGTGTATGCACAGTCTTGGAAGCTCAGGCCAAGGGAGCTTGTCTTAGCATTGTAAAAACTGACAGTAACCAATCCTCTGAAATGTCATTTCTCAGTTTCACGTTTCGGTGATAATGGAAATCAGTACAGGTAATGTCCCAGTGGGTGAAACCTTAAATGTGTTAGCTGTGAGTGGGTATGCCTGCCAACAGATGTCTGAGTACCTGATACCGACAGCAAGTCTTCTGGCTGCCCAAAGGGACCAATCATTTTCAGCAAGCTGTCAGCCCATTATGCTGAATATTCCTCCTGCCTGGTGAAAACAAGCCATATGTAACAGGACCAGATGTAAATCCTGACACTTCTAGGAAAAGTGTAATGTCTTTTCTGGGTGCTGCAACTGTAAAATAATTAAAGCTTTGATGCTAGAGGTGACACTTGATGCCCCTTTTCTCTGCTAATGTTTTATCTGATGCTTTATGAATATACATAGGGAAAATTACAGGTAACTAATCTTGCTTCATTCAGCCCTCTAGCTCTATTTAGAATCCTTTGGTATTTAAACTGTCATAATGTGGATAATATGTGTACAGAAAATATACCTCGGGTACACAGAAATGTCACCAGAATAAACTATTTTATTCGTATAATTACATTACTGTACATTACAGCACGATAAAACAATCTCAGGAGGTATTAAAGTAACTTTAACTTGGCTGTTAACATCAAGTAGTCTTATAAATATTTCAGTTCAGTGCATGATTCTGGTTGAGCGTATTAACATTAGGAATTAATGATTCTTGTTTCATTTGCTCCTTCAGACTTTATGCCTGTCTTTGCAGCAAACAGAGCTATGAAACATATTACATCATATATTTTTAAAATACAAGATTGGTTTTAAATAATTTCACATAGTTGTAATTTGATTATCTAACATGATTTTGCATAATAATCCATATTGATTTAACAATCCGATCCTTTTCTCTGGCATATCTAAAGGTGCAGAGGTAATCAGTTACAGTTTGCTCTGTGCACCCTGGAGCCTCCACACTGTGCTGACCTCTTGGTCTGTGGTGTCCAACACCCTGAACACATTAACATCGCTGGTCTGGTGAAAGTGCTGCAACAATCTCTGGAAAACAGTTACTGGGATGCTGAAGTTGAGGTGCGGGTAGGTCACTTTAGCAGCCAGGTCCCTTGTGTTGCTGGAGATGATACCTGCAAAACAGCAAATAATCCGTACACTCTTAAAACTGCAATTACAGCAGTGCAGGAAAAGCACTCTAGTTTGTACAGCCGTCTCCTCTCTACACATGTGGTGCATTGTTACAGTGGAGTTTTCTGTGGTCGTCATATGCCCCCCAGTGTTAAAGCAGAGTACAAGATTTTGAAGTTGCAGAGTTCTTACCCAGCAGCTCTCCTGAGTATTTCCGCACCACAGCACCTCCACTGGTCCCTGCTTGTACTGCACAAGTGGTCTGAAGCATGACAGGCTGGTTATTCAAGCTGATGGCTTTAGAGAGGACACCACAGGTCAGGGACGGACCACATCGCTGACCCAACCCACCGTATCCCACCACGACTACAGATTCACCTGCAGGCAGAAAAGCTGAACATTAGCCTTAGTGTGAAAAAAAAAATTAATGTGAAGCAAGATTTCCACTAAACAAGACAGAAATCAAACCTGGACTGTAACTCTGAGCCATCTGAGGCACCACAGCCTCTGTGGCGGAGTCTCTCAGCTGCACCAATGCCAAATCATACGGTGAAGAGGCTTTGGTGGAAAACAGCACATCACCCACAACATCATGGACTCTGTGAAACAGAAACAGCAAACATTACATATTGTGTATCATTTGTGCCGTATCAGTACACACTGTGATCAGAAAAATGACAGCTTGCTAAGAGGCCCTGAACCCACACAGGTGTTTTCAGTTATTCTGGCTGATTAAACCTCCGCTCAAGTTGAAAGTAGTTCCTCGTACTGTAATTGACATGAGACAAATATACACATATATTAAGCACATATGGTTTAGAACCACAAATTTAGGAAGAGACAGATTTCACTGAAACTTTCTGATGTGACCGAGCCTCAGTTCCTACAGGTGCAAGAAAACTTACAGGGGATTGAGGGAGATGTCGATCAAACACAGTCTTGAGGACCAATCAGGAAAAATAACTAAAACACATGTGTGGGTGAATCAAGGGTGTGGAGGGCCTTTCAAGGAAAGCGCAAAGGAACAGTTACCCCAAGAAACACAATATATCCACCTGGACCATCACTTTCACCATATTTAAAGCTACAGATTGTAACATTTGTGAAAATAACTTTGTGTTGTATATGCTGAAACTGTCACTATATTCTGAAAGAAGTACACCGAACAGATGATCAGAGTGCACCAAAAACAACCAACCTCTAAAGCAGCTGTCAATCACATCAATAATGCTCCTGAGCTGTGGTCAAACCTCCAAACTAGTCAGCACTGATCAAATATAAACCAGGATTCTGTTACTGCATTACCTATTTCTCACCTCAAATGTTTTCACAAACATATTGTAGTGCATTGGTTCCCAACTGGTTGGTCTGGGTCCAAAAGTGGGTCCCGAGACCATTCTGAATGGACCATAAGTAACTCGCAAATGTGTCAAGTTTGTAAGTTTGAAGTACAGTGAATTTCTGGCACAGAGCTTTTACTTTGAAGTGCTGTTCCCTGCTGTAGAGTGAGTGACTAACAGAGACAGCAAATTAGCTTAACCACATGTTCAAAAACAAGTATGACATTGCATATGTTAAACTGTGTGGACCTTTAACTAATGACTAAGGAGAAATCTGGACCCCGTGTCTGGACCAGTGGGGAACCACTGTCTGTTTAGCTGTAAAATGAGAAAGTGTGTGACCCTGCTGCCATGTTGGATACAGTCAACTACAGCACCAAGCACTGCCCACTGGTCGGACCAACTTTCTCAGTTTACACCTATACAGTTCACTAAAATATGTTTCTGACAACACGTGAGGTGAAAAATAGGCACTGCAGTAACAGAAGCTTGATGTTTAATCAGTGCTGTCTGGTTTGACTGCGGTTACCGAGCCGTGATTGACAGCTGCGTTTGAGACTCCTCAGCTCTGACTGGTTGTTTCATTCATGTGTTGTGAGGCCATTAGAAGTATTATAAGACAAGAGTGCATGCAGAAGAGCTTGATTTTTTTCCCACAGTGTTGTGTGAATACTGTGACAGTTTCAGAAAATCTGAAGAATTTTTTTTTCCATATAAAAGTTACCAATTACAGCTTCAACTGAGGTTTGGAGCTAAAAATTACAACAGCACACCAACGTCTCTCAAATATACAGAAATGAAACATGTTACTTATCATGACCCACCATCCCCTGTGATAAAATGTTGCCTGGGTTATTGTGACGTTGATAAGGAGCACTGTTGTTGAGATTTTCTGGAGCTTCAAGGACCGCAAACTAAATGGAAATGAGTGTGTGACTAACAACATAAATGACAGTTTTAATTTCATGAGCCTTTTTCTACATAGGACATTATGACTTATCACAGTAGGAAAAGCAAAGGTGTAAATAATTAAATGAATGATAGCGGAATTCCATTTAGCTGCTCTGATTTAACATTAATTGAATTTTTCATACTCCCACACTTAAATACAACAGAGCCATCATTACATTTATTAGTAACACCTGTTATTTTCCTACTATGACAAGTGAAAATGTCTGCGGTACTGGTACTGTGCATGGTGGCTTACCAGCATTGCTTATAGGGGCGCTTAAATCAAACTGAGCCATCGTTAATGTTATTATTAGTTCCACCTGTGCTTTTCCCTCTATACAGTCAAAAGCTTTGCTGCCAGATGGGTCTGTTAAACAAGTTTCAGTATGTTTGTGGATTAATTTTTCCAGCCTGTGCAGAGAGAGGTGAAGTTGGGGAGGTTAAGATGTACTGTCACCTGTCCCTGTGATGGAACTTAAGGGTGACAGTCGACTTCCCGTTGACAACATGGCGGCAGGTCACCACCAGCTGAGAGGTGACAACGACCCCAGAGCCCCAGCACTGTCCACTGTCCACAAAGCACACAGTGGGGCCTTTAAAAGCTTCTGACTCATGGGTTGCAGTGGACATGAGGAGGCTTGCCTCCCCTGGATGGAGCCAAACATCTCTGAGTGGATTTTCAATGTTCATGCAGCGAATGATGTTCCTGAAGATCAAGTGGACGGAGCAGACCAGAGTGAGACCTATCCACTCGTTTGCCTTCCAACCAAATGGAGACACAATCACTCCAACGAGGCGCACATTGTCTGTGCCTTTCACCACAAACAACCCTCCACCCTCTGTGCCTGGCAAGCAACGGGCGTCTGTGAGAATGACAGCGTTGTCCTCTCCAGCAAGGTTGCTGATGATGCCTCTGCTGAGGGTGCTGATGAAGAGATCCAAGCAGAGGGTGCCGAAAGGTGAGCCACATGCAACAACAGGGAAGCCCTTCTTGAGAGATGAGCTGTTCTGCCAGGGTATAGTCCCTGCAACTGGGCTGCTGTCTGCCACCACACTCGCCTTGAGTACAGCAAACCAGCTGAGGAACTGGGCATCTCTGATCAGCTCCTCATCTTCTTTATCACCATGGAAACGCCACTGGTCAGCCTCTTGGAAAACTGCCTGGAAGGCTTGTTTGAACTCCAGGCAGTTCACCAGCATCAGCAACTCAGCTTCAATTTCCCGTTGAGGTGTTGTTTTGCTCCTGGAGGAGGGTGAGGATGCTTCTCCCCGTGCAGCCCGGTCGGAGTTTGAATCTCGCTCAGCGGAAAAGCTGACACGGATTTTAAGTTTGTCACTGAAGCTCTGCGGTGACAGGAACCTGCGGTGTGTGGAGAGGGGCGCCTTGTCGGTGGTAAAACGGGAAATCGGGACGCCGGTGCATATCACTGTCCCAGTTTGAGGATGGACGATAACTCCGCTGCAGCTCACATGTTTCTCTTCTGAAAAAGCCTCAAACACCTTGACCACACAGCAAAACTTCTCTACCTCCTTTACCTCCATGCTGTTAGCAGCGCACGTGAACTTTAGCCATGTATTCGGTAACGGAGTTGAGCAATTTGAAGACACCGGAAACAGTTAAAAAGCAGCGCAGAGAGCAGTGTTGTGAGAAAAAGAAATCAAACCTTCATAACGACCCGGTATAAATGATAAAACTAATTGTTTAAACTCGTATTCTATCGCTAATAGTATTAACAGTTGTTTGGGGTTTAATAACATGAATTCTGTCGTCCAACTTCCTGGTTTACTCTCATTGGTCGACGAGAAAAAAAAAACACCTACCAATTGATGTGATTGGTCAGAACGTGAAAACGAACAGTTCTGAGCCAATGAGAACGAAGGAGGCGGGAACACAGCTGCAATATGTAACTTTATGCCATACACACACAGCCTCTGTTACTGAAAATACAATGTTTTAGTGTTTTAGGAATACTTTGAAAAAATGAATATCTAAAGGGAAGCCTAAATTACCTTTAATTTAATGTAATGTGTAATGCTAGGAGTTTTAGGAGCAAAAAGTGGAAACTATAATATTTTTTTATTTAATTTTAAAATTTTAATTTATCATTTTTAAAGAAAGCATTTAAGTGCATTAACTTAAATGGAGCAGTCCAGTATATATAGAAAAAAATACTTAACTTTGGTTCAGGCGTATAGCTGAATAATGTAAAAGTATACCACCAAAACAATAAAATAAAATAATTAAATTAAAATGAAATGAAATGAAATGAAATTAATGAATAGTTATAGTTTTATTTGAAAAACTTGTTGCATATTGGGTTACATGTTTATTTCTCAGCAGTACGATTTAAGGATTTATCACATCTGGATAACATTATTCCAACACCAGTTCGACCTCATCTATTGATAATAATTTTAATATATCCTCCTAGTCATAACAGTATTGTTTAATAATGTCTGTAATTGGTTGTGTCAAACCTTTTCCTAATAAAAATTTCATAAAAATTGGTCAAACAACAAAGATTTAAAGGATTGTCAAAAATATTTATTATGCTCAAACTTCACACGTTTAATAACAATATGACCAACCTTTTGTAAAAGATACTTCAGGGCTCAAGGTTCATTGTAACATAAGGTGAGCTGAATTTTTATTGCAAAATATAAATAAGAGCTTATATACAAAATAATGTATAATATTGCACTAAGAGGTAATTTCATGCATATCTTTTGCGTGCCCTATTTTTAAGCACCACCCAAGTACTCTCATAATATCTCTGCGTGTTGGGAGCAGACACTAATCACAAAGTACTCAAGTTGATTCACAGCAATCAACCATCATGAAAACAGGTAGTTTGGCATCCACGTATGAGGTTTTTCTTTACATCACCTGGCTGTGCTGATGCAGTTCACATACACTGCAATTTATTTAACAAAGTTCTGTGCTATTATATAAAGCTCCTCACAGCAAAATTTCAGTTAATGCACTTGTGGTCACATTCATATAATTAGCCTGTAGTGGTTAACCCTTCATTGATTAAAAAAATAACATGCAATGCCTACTGTATTAACAAATATGGCACCAAATCTCTGCAGCACGTTCCAGAAAAACTGTGCTCTTCTTGGAAAAATATTATGGTACTTCAAGATTCCCATTAGTATGAAAGATGAATATAAAGATATAATTATAATATTCATTCTCAATCAAGAAGGAGTAACTCCAAGCACAAAATGTTAACCAAATTGACCTTCACTGTAAGTCTACACCGGCAGCTAAAAATAAACTCGGGTCAGAAACTGGTTCACAGCGATGACATGTTCTATATGGCAGACAGAACTCTCTACAGGCTTTAAGTGAAGGGAGAAACCACACCATGAAGATTATTCTCCACACTCAATCTGAACAGTGCAGACTGATGATTCATAACTTAATCTTGAACTGTGGCATGATTGATATGAAGAATACAGTGTATATTATCACAAAACACTATTGTAATGCGTCCTACTGGCATAGTCAAAGTCCTAAATAAGTTATATTACTCAATATAACTCTCTACGGCAGGTAGTTTTGTGTGGAACATGTCTTTGTGTGCGAAGGTAGCATGGTAAATAAGGTTATTAAACAGACGTGGATCAGTCAATGTATTGGGAGAGCCAGCGGAAACCGTCTCCGTATCCTTGTCTCTTCAGCACACTGCACATGAAAACTTCCATTGGCCTTAAATTCAGCTCCTTCAGCGACACTTTGCCCTGAAAACACAGAAACACACATGCAAAAGCACAGATTTAAAGTCAATTTCAAAACATTTCAACATGCTTTACTGTGTATGTTGTGTGAGTAGGGCTGGTTATTGTTTAAAAAATTACACAAATTATTATTTTTAAAAAAAATTATTGTTTAAAAAATTACAATACCAGTACCAATACCAGTACTCTTAAAGTGATACTAATAACAAAAGAGTGCTTCATTTGATACATTTATTCTACTTTATTTGATACCCATCATGTCAATGGAAGCATTTAGTTGCATAATATGCCACCAGATGCCACAGTCATGTAGTGTAGCCACACTTTAAAACATTTTGGTGGGATCTTGGCACGCTGAATGTTCAACTCTCTCAAATACAACACGCTCGACTTCACCAACCACCGACTATATGGGATCTAGCTGCTGTGGTAGTGGCCCAATCACACCTTGCATTAAATCTAAGAATGCTTGTGTGTTACAGATATTGTGGACTGGACTTTATATCGTATTCAAGAATTTGTGTTATTACATATATGCACATTGATTGTATCTGGTTTTTAGAAACACAGATGATGCTAAGAAGAAATTGAAAATGCAAATAGGGGAAAATATACCAAAATGTAAAAGTAAATACACCTCTAAATGACTCAGAATGAGGTGTACATTTGATGTTATACCCTAATAACCTTTCTGGAGATCTGCCTTGACCTATTTATTAAAATACACTGAATAATTGTCATGCTTTGTGCTATTTGTGCCAGGTATTCTGTCTGCAGTCCCTCAATTTCCTTGACCTCCGCACACAAATGGACAGACAGCTATTCAGACTGGAAAAAAATAAAGATCTGCTGCCCTATTTCTGTAAAACACATTATTTATTTATTGATTTATCCTTTATTTAGCCAGGAAGGTCCCATTGAGATACAATCCCTACTTCCAGGGAGTCTTGGTCATGTAATGTGTCTTGCATTTTCTCAAGAAACTGGTTTGTGAGGAACATTTTAGTGCAGCTCTGTCAGGCGTGGGGTGGAGGCGGATAATGTCAAATAGCAAAGTGTTGTCAGGGCTGTTTGAGAATTGACATTTTGCCTGTCAGATTTAAAGTCAATTTCAAAACGTTTCAACATGCTTTACTGTGGATACTATACAGTCATTATCTTAAACCTGTAACTTTATGCATGTTGTGTGACTAGGGCTGGTTATTGTTTAAAAAATTTCAATACCAGTATCAATACCAGTACTCTTAAAGTGATACTAATAACAAAAGAGTGCTTCATTTGATACATTTATTCTACTTTATTTGATACCCATCATGTCAATGGAAGCATTTAGTTGCATAATATGCCACCAGATGCCACAGTCATGTAGTGTAGCCACACTTTAAAACATTTTGGTGGGATCTTGGCACGCTGAATGTTCAACTCTCTCAAATACAACATGCTCGACTTCACCAACCACCGACTATATGGGTTCTAGCTGCTGTGGTAGTGGCCCAATCACACCTTGCATTAAATCTAAGAATGCTTGTGGGTTACAGATATTGTTTGAGTGGAGAAGATTTGATACTACTTGGTACTGGGATATTTAGGTCGATATATTAAAGGTATCTAGTACCGATACCCAGACGTACTTATGACAACATGATATTTGTGATATTTGTAGAGCTATTGTCTGACTCAAATGGTTCACTGTTGCATCTTGGACTTGGTAAACAGTAAATGGTAAATGGACTTGCACTTGTATAGTGTCTTTCTAGTCTTCCAAACACTCAAAGCGCTTTTTACACTATGAGTCACATTCACCCATTCACACACTGGTGGCTGAGGCTACTATACAAGGTGCCACCTGCTGCACAGCTTTAACACACTCACACACTGATGGAGCAGCCATTGGGAGCAATATGGGGATCAGTATTTTGCTCAGTGACACTTCGACATGCGGACCAGAGGAGCCAGGGATCTAACCACTTATCTTCCAATTGGTGGATGACCGGCTCTACCTCCTGAGCCACAGCCCCCCCATCTTGCTTCCTACTTCTCTCTCTTTTCTTGTCTTTTTGCCAACAAACAGCAGGTGGTCTAACAGAAATCACTAATGAGAAAAAGATTTGTACAAGACAAGTAACATGCCAAATGCTTCTTATCAGCATATTGCCCCCTGCTGCCTCTGTGTTTAACAGGAGCAGTAGCGTTTTAAGCACAGTTACGCCTGCCCTTGGCAATTCAGATTTGTATTATAAACCCAGAGTTTTCAAATACGTGGGAGCATCAGCGGGAGCAATAACAATTTTCTTCTGTGTTGAAAGGAACGTACGTCTGGCCTTGTGAGGTTTGTGAAGCTCACTGTTGTTATCATGCAGTGAAAATGTCCTTGAACAGCCAGGCAGCATGGACACAATGTGCTATTTATTGAAGTCATAAAGCAGAGTAAGGGGTATAACAGAAAGCCATTTAAATGTTTCTACTACTCCACCGTACAGATGGATGCAATAACAGTGTACTAATGAAAAATAAAGCATGGCAGACAACATTTAATCCCACGTGTTTGTTACCTTTCCTGTCGTGTGTCCATGAAGACCAAACATCCCTCTGAGTGCATCCTCACTGATGGCCTCTGGACGGTCGATCTTATTCCCCAGGATGAGGACAGGGACGTTCGAGATGGTTTCATCTGTCAGCAGAGCCTGCAGACAGAAAGTGTCAAATACTCACCACAGAGAACTGAGCTGTGTTAATATTCAGGTGAAATCAACATAATGAACTTACATCCAGTTCGACTTTAGCCTCTGCTAGTCGCTCATGATCAGCACAATCCACCAGGTACACTATACCGTTTATGGCCGGGAGGTAGTTCTTCCAGATCCGTCGTGCTGTGAGAGCAACACAGTGTCAGCATTTATGTACCACACAGCTCCCAGTGCATCAATCAGCATGTTCCTTACTCCTACCTTGCGTATGACCCCCGAGGTCAAACGTTGTAAAGGTCATCCCAGCTATGGTCAGCTCCTCGGACGCTGAGGAA